TCCGTGTTCGTCACCATGAAGTCGGTGACCTATCATAACATATTTAAATGACTAAAGTAATTTGAACACGTGGGCACCATCCAGCATTTTGATGGTTAATTAGCGACTTGACCTATCCGGTCAAGTAACGTTCGTGTGCATTCAAAACTACATGGCGGATGTTGTATCGCATCTACCGTTTACATGTGACCGAAATAATTCGCTAACGGTGAAACTAAGTTGAATTTTACTTGCATTTGATAACAGTTCAACGAATTTATTTTTCGTGCGTTATTATAATCACTACTGAGTAATAATCAACAATTTCAACACTTCGAAAACAAGTAAGTTATTCACTTGTGAGCCGAAGCATGGCCGGATTGCGTTACCGTACACACAGTACCATACTTTTTTAGTGCCGTACCATGATCATTTTCTACTAAGCAATGCATTAATGTTTGTTTTTATTTGAAACTCCTGTCTGAATATACTTTCCGTTACGAAGAAAATTAAAAAAAATAAATGCATATTACATACATTAAATATACTGAGTATTTTTTGTATGTGAACAGTTTTTTTGTGACGTGACTCTTATCACTCTTCCCTGACATCTAATTTACGTTACGCTTATATTCAAAAGATTGTACGGTGTATTGTTTGTTTTGTGCAAGTGATGTGGGGAAAAATGACCACGCCCATTTAGTGATTGCAATATGTACGTAATAGAAACCGCACCCAAACTTGAGCTGTTGATCCCAATTTTTTATTTGATACATTGTAATATAAACTGCGGTTTATAATAGGATTTTAACGGTAATTAGTTTTTAGACCTTGTTCCAATTAAGTCTGAAACAGGGACTTGTAGTTTAATAATAATAATAACTTTATTTAATTAAGCGCAACAATTCCAACATATGAAGATCAAAGGCGCTGATACAATAAACAATCAGTCAAATATTAAAAGCACATTTAAATAAGTGCGTTTTCAGTCTGGATTTAAAAATGTCTACTGAAGGACTAGAACGAACAGACAGAGGTAATTCATTAAAAAGTTTAGGACCTAAATTTTCAAAAGCACGGTCTTTGTATAACACCTTGGACTTTTTACTACACACCTGACGAGTTTTAATAAGAAACTTTGATTCAGATCTTAAACTACGACTAGGTACATAAAATTCGATTAATTCACATAGATAATTTGGGGCAAAACCATACAAAGATTTATACACTAGTAAAAGTAATTTGAAATTGATTCTTTGTACAACTGGTAACCAATGAAGTTTAATAAAAATGTCTGTAATGTGGTCATATTTTCGAGCACGAGTGACAAGGCGGGCTGCTGCATTTTGTACACGAATAAGAGGTTTTATCTTAGTTACAGGGAGACCAGACAATAATGAATTACAGCTGTCTAAGCGAGAAGATATGAATGCATGTACCAACTTTTCAGTATCAGATTGGGATAATGATTTACGAATACGATTAATATTTCTTAGATGGGAATATCCAGATCTACAAATAGTAGAAATGTGTGTTTCCATAGATAGCTGCGAATCAAACAAGACACCTAAGTTTCTAGCACTTGACGAAGCACTAACCA